CTTATCAGACACAGCGAGGCCCGGCTAACACGCAACGGGTGAACCGCCTGCAGGGAGCCAGGCGCTGTGGCTGGAGAACACTCACTCGCTGAGCATCAGACACAGCGAGGTCCAGCTGGCACGTAAACCGGCGAAGCGCGGGCAATACGCCAGGGGAACACAGCCTGCAGCAGCAGCAGTAGCAGCAGCAGCAGAGGCTGAAGCTGCAGTCCCTGCAGGCCCTGCTGGCCATGTGAACCGCGCACTGCGGGCAACACACTAGGCTGGAGAATGCCACTCGCCGCAGCGAGGTGCGACTGGCGTGGAAGCCGGCGAACGCGGGCAAACACCAGGGCAACACAGCCTACCAAGCCACTCGAGCACAGCAGCTGGCTATCGCTGTGACAGAAGCCCGCGATATGCGGATGATGCCCCAGAAGGGAAGGCGGAGCCGCCACCTAGAGAAGTCAAGCCACAACAGAGCCCTGCCTGGCACTAGGCAGTGACACAGTGCCAGCGAGAAAGAGCCTGTCGAAGCATCTCGGCCACTCAGTGGATTAGCCCAGGGAGGACGAGGCCCAGGGCCTGTCCCAGGAGTAGAGCAGCTGACCTGCACCAACCACGATAGGGGAGGTGCTGGTGGCTCAGGCCACTAAGGGCCCAAGTGAGGAGCAACCCAAGGTTCATCACCAGTGCATAGCAGCCACTCTGCAGAGTCTATAGACAGGGGGCCAGCAGAGGGGGCCTGATGAGACACTAACAGACAGACGGGAGGTGTCAACTCACTGAGCGGGCACCTGCTGGCCATGTGACCCGCGATACAGGGGAAACCCACTAGATGGAGAGCCAGCGCTGCGTGCTGGAGAACACCCACTCAGCGACTGACATATCAGACACAGCGAGGTCCAACTGGCGTGTGAGTCGGCGAACCGTGGGCTATACGCCAGAGGAACACAGCCCGCAGCAGCAGTACAGCTGCAAGATGCAGGGCCAAGGCAGGGATGCAACCTGTAGGGTCCATCCAACCACGGAGCCGCCCAGCCGTCCACAGACGGGAGGGGCTGGCAGTCCAGCCCGCTGACGGCCAAGCGGGGACTTAACCCAAAGGTCTGCCCCAGGGCTAAGCGGTCGCTAGCGCTGTCCGCAGACAGGGGAGCAGCAGGTGTGAACTTCGAAATGAGACACTCGTGCACAATGCGGCAGGCTGGAGAACACTCACTCTCCGGCTGAAAAATCAGACACAGCCAGGCACAGCCACACTGCTCGTGCCTACCGTAAAAAGGCAAAATGCCATACACAGACATGTTTGGGACGGTGGGCTGCCATACTTCTTCTACCAAGCAAGGGGGCGGGGCCACACGCTAACCAGGAAGGTAGCCGGTGTCGTGCCAAACTAGATATCACCGACAGAATTTGTTTCCCCTGCGTCGGGAGCACACGCTGGACTGTCCAAATCACGGACAAACAGTATCCCACATTGTTGATTTTTAGTTTACAAACACTTCTTATAATGACTAACTACTCCTGACATTTTTGAGATGTTAGCTCTTTATACAACGAAGTTATATTGGGATACAAATAATATCAGGCTGATCCTGACACAATTTGTTCCCCCTATGTAAATCATGGACAAACAGTATCCCACATTGCTGATTTTTAGTTCACAAACACTTTTTATTATGAAGCATTACTCCTGAAACTTTGGAGGATTTAGCTCTTTATATAGTAAAGTTACAGGAGAATAAAAATAGTTATCAGCCAAAATGTTAATGGTTTGTTAAAATAATCCCATCTGATACCCCTTGAGCAATAAAGATATAATTTTCTGTTGTAACCCCCAAACTGAATGGTAATGTAATGATACTAATTTTTCACTTTTTCACAAAATGAATGGTCAAAATGAATGAAGCGTCGACCGGCACTTAAGCCTGTTTTTTTTTCGAGGCAATATGCCGGGGAAGGGGGACCAACCAAGGGAAAGCAAGGGCTAGCTAGGGGGTACCAAGCTAAGGGATACCAGGGGAATAGCGGGGAACACCAGGGCATACAGGGGGAATCTACCAGGGGAGAGGCAGCGCCCACGGAGGATGCCGAAGCACGCTCCTGACGGACGCACATTCATACCCCACTCTCAAGGCTCTCTCTCTCTCTCACTCACTCTCTCTCTCTCTCTCTCTCTCTCACACACACACACACACACACACACACACACACACACACACACACACACACACACACTCTCTCTCTCTCTCTCTCTCTCTCACACACACTCTCACACTCACACACACACACACTCTCTCTCTCTCTCTCTCTCTCTCTCTCTCTCTCACTCTCTCTCTCTCTCACACACACACACACACTCACTCACTCTCTCTCTCACTTACACATACAAACACACACACACTGGTGTCACGTCCGCACAGCTGTTTTATACATAAGCTGTGGGGCGTAGCCGGGCGTGCTGGAGTGTCTTAAAGAAATATCCACACGCCACGACCAAGAGCGCTCCTACCCCGTACATGTGGAATATGTAAAGGTGTGGAGAGATAGTCTCGATATGCTAGAGAACAAATGTTTAAATTAAGTCATTTTACAGTTGACACTGACAATTATCAGTTCAGTTTGATTGCAACACATCTGAAAAAAGCTGGATGGGGAAACAAACGGCTGAAAAAGTAAAATAACAAAAAAGAACTAGCTGGAGAAACATTTTGCAAACCATTAGGTTAATAGCAGGAAGCCAGTGAGCATGATTAGATGTAAAAAGACCGTCTGAGCAAAGCAGATTTTCTCAGAAGTAAAGCTGGGCAGAAAATCAATAATCTACGAAAAAACTGTATTTTAAATAGTAGAACAACTTCAGAATAATATTCCTCAATATAAAATTGTGAAGACTTTGAATGTCTCATCATCTACAGGACATAATATCATCAAAAGATTCTAAGAATCTTAAACCTCTGGGAATTTAAGACTTATCTATAGCAACTTATCTGTAGCTAAAGAGTCCAAGAGTCTGTAGCTAAAGAGTCCAGGTTCCAAAATGCCTGCCTGCAGTCCATCTGAAAACATTTTGTACATCTTCATATTGAATATACTTTATTAAATATACTTAATATATACTTATAATATATACTTAATATACTTAATATACTTAAGTTTAAATCCATCTGAGTTACTAGATACCAGATGTGTTATCTTTCTTTCTTTCTTTCTCTCTTTCTTTTTATTTTATATCTCTGATCTATTAATTATAAAAAAGTGGAATTTAATTTAGTAAACAAGATATATTTACTGGGAAATTATAGAGGAACCTGTTCTTGCACTGAAATGCAATCTATTACAAGTAAAGAAGTGTTACTGATTAAAATAAAATAAAATATAAAAATATATTTATATTTATAAAAAATAAAGTAAATTAAATGGTATAAATTGTCATCTCCATTTAATTAGAATAATCTCAGCTTACCCACAAGTAACAGCAGGAAGAAGAAACTTGCAATCATTGTAGCCTTGAGAGACCAGAGAGCTTTTTCACCCTCTCTGTGGTGTCTAGAGAGTTTTCTATTTTCCTCTATTGATGTCATAGCCCTGCCCAACAGAGGGTGGGGCAAATTGTATCTATCCTAACAGAGTGGTAACAAAAGCTTAAACACTAATTTGTTTAAGCTTTTGTTTAAAAAAAAAAAAAGCCATGGAATTAATATTTTTCCTGCATTCAACCAAACTCTTAATATTCTATTTTCCAGCTCAAACTTTTACGTTCCTGTCATTAATCTGGTTGATTGTTGTATTTTCTTTCTATTTTGAATAAAAGTTAACTTTTTTTAAAACAGTATCAATATTTAATCATTAAAAGTAATTGAATCAGACTGATTACATACCAATCTAAACAATAGAAGAGCTTTAACTCTGGCTTTTAATTAAAAACATTAATAGAAAACAATTGAAAATGTGCTGGTATTATGGATGATTATGAATTAAGAAAACAAAACATTTTTTCTAAATTTATTGTCTATTTCCTTCTGCATGTGTCTTTAAATAGATGTTTCTACAGATAAAATTTCACTAATGTTCATTGTACTGGTCTTGTTTGTGGAATTGGCGTACTTTATAAGAATCTACAGATGATTTTAGAGCATTTTACAGCATCCAGGTAATAAAGGCATGTGAATCCACAATTCATGTCCAGGTTGTGTAAATGTTGTAAAACTGTATCAGACTTGCAAACAACAGATCCTATGTCACCGGAATATACAAAACTGAATTAGACAGCCACACATTTCTTTATCATCTTTCAGATGTTCAGATATTTATCAATCAAAGCAGCAAAATATGAATGTGAGGAGAAGAAAACATATTTCAGTGCTCGATCAGGAGACGCAGTTCGATCCCATTTGGAAAAAAGAGAAAGTTGATAACTGGGATCTTATTGTTGCTTTATCAGTAATCAGCGATCAGACACTAAAAATATTCAAGTTCATTACGTACTGCTGTTCCAATGTCAGCATTCATTTTTATCCATTAAACTATCAGTGCTTTAAAAAAAATCAGGCATGAAAATTGTGTTTTCCTTGCACTAGAAAAAAGCCAAACAAATACATTTATGTTAAAAGAAAGAATTATTATGTGACAGTGTAGTCTGACCCTAATAGGAACAGTACACATTCGTACATTCAGAGTTGTGAGTAGTGCAACCATGCTGAATGGATGTTAAGGTATGCAATTAGGTTTTGCATCTACAGTAAAGTAGGTAGAACACGGACAATGACATTTCCAGGAATACTTACAGTGTAAACAACTATAGACTGACTGAAGCCAAAATAGTTGACACTATTAGTGACTGACATGTTAATGAGGAGATGCTCTCACTATCATATTCCTACATGTAAACAGGAATGCAAAAATAACTGAGCAGATCAGGAAGGAATATATGTATATTGTGGTATCTGGTTGTATGTGTTCTTGACACCTTGAACACTCATTGGTTTTATAAGCAAAAGAAACACACAAAATATTTGGCAAAGGAAATATCAATATGAAAACCACCAAAAAATCAATCAATGGTTTCATTTCAGTGATTACTTCTGCAATATAATGAGTGTGGTTCATAATAGGTCTCTTCTGACTGTCTTTGCTCCATTTCCATTTCTTCAGAAATCATATCACACATGCTGTGTCGGAGATTAAATTCATGACATTAAAACAATGAAGCAATTTCCATGCTTTCATTTTTTTCTCATTAAAAACACTGGAACGCTGGTTGTCATCAGGGATCTAAATGACATAGTCACATGTATTTATACTGATTTGTGTTCATACAGTTATGTGCAGCCTATTTGCACAGTAAAGTGCTATGTATTGAGACATAATGAAAAAAAAAGTCACCTGATAATTAAAAAAAACCCCACATGAGTGTGTGGTTGTTTTGCCCTTTCCTTTTTGTATTGCTCCACCCCTAGGTCACAAGACTCCTCCCAGTGGGTGTGTTTTAAGTTAAAAGTTAAAGCACTCTCACTAGGAGGGTGGACATTGGTAGGAGCTGATTATTGTCATTATTTCTGGACCACCATAAAACTGGAAGTTGAACCCTTACCCTGTCATCCTTGATTTTTATTCAGTGGGAAGACTGGAGAGCACTGCAGCGACAAATGGTAGGTGGTGTGTGTGTGTGTGTGTGTGTGTGTGTGTGTGTGTGTGTGTGTGTGTGTGTGAGAGAGAGAGAGATAGAGACCATGTGAGAGATATGTGGGTGTATAGATTTCTTTTGCAGACAACACCACAGTTCTCCCTCTGGAGACTTGTAATAAAGAAACCTCTTCCTCTTCCACCTCTATGTGATTTAAAGGATGCACTTGACTCAGCTGAAGTGCTTTGTAGGAGTAGGAGTGTAGGATGGATGTGGTTATACTATATCTGAGGATTACGGACTCAGTGGTGTTGCAGAGACTGTTCTTCATGAACTGAAGCATTACATAAGCCATGTGTGAGGTGTAAAATGCCCTTGTAGATGATAGTGACGCAGCTTCATATGATTGGAAAGTATTGGAGGGGAATGCATGATATTTAATCAGGTCATACTACAAATTGATGTCAGATTGGATACCTGTCCAGGGTATAGCCAGCCTCCAGCCCAATGCCCCCCAAGTGTCCCCACCCCCAGATTTAAACCTTAGACAACTTTTAACAATTTAAATAGTTGCCTTGAAGTGGGGTTAGTTATAGACATCAAAAGTTTGGACTAGTCTGTAAATATGTTAATTTTATAGATGAAGCTAGCCACTTTAACATGACAGTCTCATCGGTAATTTTAAATTTGCTGGAAAGATGTGTTAGTTGTGCAAGAAACATACAGAGAAAGGAGAAGTTTATTTATTTATTTTTTACATTTTTAGAAGCAGATGACAGGACTGATTATTTCATGCTAATACACAAAGTATCTAGGAAGCAAATAGATTTACAGGAAACATGAGCTACAATGCTTGATGTTGCCAGAAATAAGCAAGCGTGGCTAATGTAGCGCAGGAGGTAGAGCATCTACTAGTTGGAAGATTGGTGGTTCGATCCAGGGCTGCTCCATGCTAAATATCCTAACCCCAAGTTGCCTTCTCTTTTGCCTAAATAAGGCAAGTTGTATAAAGCACTTTGATTGCTCAGGTATAGTAGGAAAGTACTATTTATGATCCAGTCCATTTACCATATTTGACACAAGTCATAAAAGATCTACACTTCCAATACACTTTAAATATATTCATTAGTTAGAATTGGCAGAACATTAGCATTTCGTTTATTACTTGTCAAACATGTACATAGATCAGTAATTGGTGTCAAAATTAATGAAATGAAATATTCCATTATAGGCAGACATTGCTCAAGTTCCTGTCCGAACGAATACAAAGTTTAACTGAGCTTAAAGAAAATCTTTAAAAGAAGTGGAGAAGTTAATTCACCATTCCACTGCATACCAGACAACACAAACAACGTGTTAGACTGTCTTAACTTCACCCATTGTGTAAATATGTTATAAACCTTATTTAAAGGGAGCTAAAAAAAACAGACTTTAAAGGCAAGCCAGCAGGATTAAATGTAAATAACACAACATTAATACCTAAGACAGAGATAGAGTAGATAATAAGATGGGAGGGAATACTAGAGAGGCTAGACTAAACTAAAGAAAAGAATCAAATATAAAGAACAACTCTAACACCAACCAAAAACAGAATACAAACTAAAACTAATGACTAAGAAGCTTAAGGACCTGATATTACATTGCAGCTAACATGCAGTATCTGCTAGCTGTTAGTTACATTACAGCTAACCACTGGATTTTCCCTTTTCAGTGCAACTAGTCAAATAACAAGGGGCCAAATACTGCTAGAGACAAAGACAGTCAAAGTGGACAGTATATCCTTGGTTTCTTGCAGCCTGAAACTGATCCCCTTAAACTGATTTTTAAGTTTAGTATCCTTATTTTCCTCCAAGTTATCAATTCTGTCACTAGTTAGCTAAGATAAACTAATGTAAGTGTATTTGCTGCAACCAACCAACCGACCGACCTGGTGACATAACACCCCATGCTGACAGAAGATGGTGCTAAACATCCTTTTAAAACTTTAAGCACTTATTTCTTAAATCCAGCTTCACAGACACTGTTACATCCCTTTCAGTTTTTGAGAGTAGGGCTCCATCCGTAAATTAGTCTTTATATGTGTCGTGTTTCATATCCTCTTTAAACACTTCTGACTGGTTTTAAAGTAAATTACTGTGAACCATCATCAACCTGCACCTTAATAGAACGGGTTTTATTTGGACCAATGGGAAAGAACAGCAAGGGTGAACACATTAAAAATAAGTTCATGTTGATCTTAATCACTTCATTTTTTTTGTTTGCTTTTTACTTCAGCCCTAGTAGTTTTCACTGTTCCACAATGAAAACATAGTTCCCAAAAACACAGTGAGTGTTGTGATATAAAAAATTAAGAACATCTTATTGATTCTTTTAGCTATTCTAGTCCAGTAGCCAGACTTCACGTCTTTCCTTTTACTGCCAAGCAGATTCATTGTTTTCCCGTTCTCTTCCAGTTCATTTAAGACTTGTTTGAGATTAAGGGATGCCTCCATCAATTTGCTGCTGCTATCCTGTAAAAGTATAGATTTAGTTTTTTAAGAAGGAAATGAACAAGCTTGCAAATTATATACAGAAATAAATTAAGTATTAATTTACACATAACCATATCTCTAAGGAAATATATAACTTTATTTGTGGGCAGCTACAGTTTAGATTGGATGGGTTGTTACCAACATCTGCGAAGAATTTCATATCAATAATACCTTTAAAAAAAGATTTACTTAGAAAATTGGTGATGTGCTTAATATTTTACCTGCAGTACATGTATGGTGAAATGACTGCTGGTACTTTTTAAAAACTGATTTGTTGCCATTGTGACTGGAATAATAGTTTAACTGATATGCAAACACACATTTTAACTTTCATGCAACATGACAACTTTTTATATGGTTTTTTTT